CTGTTAGACAGAGAGAAGGAGTACCCAAAACTATTACTCTCTCTCTCACCGTTATCTACACTTTTTAACTAGGCGTGCTTCCTCCATGTAGTATATGCTCTAAGTTTGAATCCGATCTTTGTTGCTGCGAGACGAAGTATCGACCAGTTTAAATATAAAACGAATTAAAAGATCTCGGCATCGCGACGCAGCATTTAATCTCATACGGATACGTTCCATTTTTTACCCAGCTTTATCTGGCATCTGAACGGGACGAAAGCCGTTCCACTTGGATTCAAAGGCCGTTCATTTTGAAACTGGCACGGCCGGCCGTGTCGCGACCGCATGAATTCTAATCGGGTTCGGGCAGACTCTCTACCGGCGGGAAAAACCGACTCACGTTTTCCCGGGAACCCGTACTCCACGGAAAAGAGTAACTTATGACGCTGCCCGAGCGATAACGGCCGGGCCTACAAATCCGTGAGATACATCCGAACAAAGTTTCGACGCGACCGTAGAAAGTAAGTACCCCCGGCCACGTTTAATACCTCTCAGGCTCTTCTCGCTGCCTCTCGGGAAACGCGAGAACGATCACCAGTTTTTTTTCATCGTTCACCGACGCTTGTATCCGCCGCGGGCCTCGCTCGCCTCCCCTTTAAAATTACAGTTTAATTAAACCGATCGATATCGGCGGATACCCGATCGCAAATTACGTGTTAAGTGCGAATTAATTATCCTCAAAAGTAGGATAATTGCTGCGATTACAGCGCTGTTCTTGTCATTAAGGGAGACGCGGCGATGTTCCTGCATTTCGCGCATACCGAAACGGCTGCAAATTGGAGCACGCTCGATGCCGCTGGTTTTGCGGTGCATTTATATACATATGAATAAACTCTCTCCTGGCCGCGAGTATCCTACGTATTCCCATACTGAAGCGCGTTGAAGGATCGTCCTATTAGCTTTTATTAGTACCTCTCAACGGGGCTCGGCGGTGATAGTTTGCCTAATTACGCGGAATGATTAAGGAAAATTGACGCGAGTCTGGACCGCTTCTGTACAACTTTTTCTTTTACCGACCCTTTGCATTTTTCATGCTCGTCTCATGGCGCAAATCTTTTATGTTCTCGATCGACGATTATCGACGTTGCACTTAGAAGAGCGTGCTAAAAATTTAAAAACTAACAGGCTCGTCGAGCGGAATCCTTTTGCCTAGCCTTGCCCGAGAGATATTTGATTATATCGGGAACAAAGCGGTAGAACGAACCATGGGTCGTGATCTCGCGTGAATCGAGAGTTTTATTCCGCGCGAAGGGTTTCGACGGAAGTCCGAGACGAAAAAATGGTGAAACTTTGCAACACCTTTCGTCTCGCCCTTTGATGTAACGAATGACGACCGAACAGGTGCCGCTAAGACTCGAGTTTCGAACTTGTTTAAAGTTCGGACGAGGTCCTATCAATTGCATCGAAAAACTTTTCTCTCCGCCTTGAGATCTTCGATTCCTCGGTATCATGAAAATTCCTTTTTTCTAATTCATTTTGTTCGCCTCCTCCTTTGAAGCTTCATGATCTCGCGTATAAGTCCAGGGATCAATTAATCGAGATGTCATCCTTTTACTCGGCTGTCGCAACAGTGACTTCTCCATCGTCAAGAATCGTTCCTTCGGCAAACAACATCAATCGTAAGAACAGTATCC